TATGAGAACCCATACAGGAGAAAAACCCTACAAGTGTGACCAGTGCGACTATTCTGCAGCACAGAAATCTGACTTGAACATCCATGTAGCAAAACACACCGGTGAGAAACCCTACATGTGTGGGGAGTGTGGGTACAGGACAGCTCAAAAGTCTGACTTATCTAAACATATGAGAACCCATACAGGAGAAAGACCCTACAAGTGTGACCAGTGTGACTATTCTGCAGCACTGAAACACAATTTAGACCAACATCTAGTCAAATATACTGGTAGGAAACCCTACATGTGTGGGGAGTGTGGGTACAGGACAACTCGCAAGTCTCACTTATCTGTACACATGAGAACTCACACAGGAGAAAAACCCTACAAGTGTGACCAGTGTGTCTATTCTACAACATGGAAATCTGCTTTGGAACAACATCTAGCAAGACACTCTGGTGAGAAACCCTACATGTGTGGGGAGTGTGGGTACAGGACAGCTAGAAAGTCTCACTTATCCCGACATATGAGAACCCATACAGGAGAAAAACCCTACAAGTGTGACCATTGTGACTATTCTGCAGCATGGAAATCTGCTTTGGAACAACATCTAGCAAAACACACCGGTGAGAAACCCTACATGTGTGGGGGGTGTGGGTACAGGACAGCTAGAAAGTTTGACTTATCCAAACATATGAGAACCCATACAGGAGAAAAACCTTACAGGTGTGACCAGTGTGACTATTCTGCAGCATGGAAATATGCTTTGGACAAACATCTTGCAAAACACACCGGTGAGAAACCCTACATGTGTGAGGAGTGTGGGTACAGGGCGGATTACAAGTCTCAGTTATCCATACATATGAAAGGCCATACAGGAGAAAAACCCTACAAGTGTGACCAGTGTGACTATTCTGCAGCACAGAAATCTACTTTGGCCCTACATCTAATGTCACACACCGGTGAGAAACCCTACATGTGTGGGGAGTGTGGATACAGTACAGCTAAACAGTCTGACTTATCCCGACATATGAGAACCCATACGGGAGAAAAGCCCTACCAGTGTAGCTATTCTGCAGCACGGAAATCCACCTTAGATGATCATAAAGCAAGACATACCGGTGAGAAACCCTACATGTGTGGGGAGTGTGGGTACAGAACAGCTTACAGGTCAGACATATCCAAGCATATGAAAGGTCATACATCAGAAAAGCCCTACAAGTGTGACCAGTGTAGCTATTCTTCAGCCTCTAAGGCTGCCCTAACTCAACATATGAAAATTCACACGAAGGCACCAACTCCGCAACTGTGACCATCTCGTAGTGGCATCAGTATTGATATCAATAGAGACAAACTATACTGATGAGAAGATTTTGCGTACACAATTATTATAAGTTAAACTTTTGTCTAATATTCAGCTCTTTAAACTTGGATTGTAGTGATTAGCAGAAGTGTAAAATGACCGATGTGCTTAAATAGTTTCCAACAGTAGAATGTAATTTTACGCCAGTGAAAATGTAGACGAAAAAAATCCTGTTTGTTTTGCATTTCTTTTAAGAGGATGTATCTATAGAAATTTTCAAATAAAACGTTATGTACCTTGAGCATGAAGTTTACGTTTTGTTGCTTTTTTGCATGTACATTATCCGATCAATACCACCAAGTTTACTGTTTTTAACCATTCTAGATACTCGAGGAGAGACCAGCGATACACTAGATCTAGCCACAAACTAAACACTGTCACTGCCAGAACTGAACGATTTAAAAACAATGCAATACCACATATCGTGCGAGTACTGAATGAGAACTGAGATTGCCACTTATGTATTTTACTGTTCAAAGACTCTTTTATCCTGCCTGTAATTTATGTGTAAACCTGGTATTTTAAATGAACGTATCTTACATTAATAATTAATGACGTATAATGATTTTATTAATCGATTATGTAATTGTCAGAGCAATTCAGGTCCCAATTACATGGAACATTTAATTAATAATTCANCTCTCTCTCTCTTCTCTCTCTCTCTCTCTCTCTCTCTCTCTATATATATATATATATATGTATATGTATAATAAATATGTATACAAAATTTATATTATTGACTGTTCAAAGACTTGCTGAAAAAGACTATTTGATTAAAATGTTTGATATAACACGCATTCATTGCGATATCATTAATGGAATAACTACTGCCAACACGCATCAACAAAAAGAATACCTCGTCTTGTTATGGAGATAGAGAGTATAAATGTCTTTTTTTGTCACAGGAGACAGCTTGACGTACCATGACGGGAAACCATTCAGTACCAAGGACAGGAAGAACGAGGAGTACCATACAAGCTGTGCTCAGAGGTTCAAAGGTGCGTGGTGGTACTACGCTTGCCACCAATCCAACCTGAACGGCCTGTACCACCTGGGTACTCATGAGGGTAACGACGACGGCGTCCATTGGTACCACTGGAAGGGTCATAACTACTCCCTGAAGCGCACTGAGATGAAACTCCGACCAGCTCCATAACGTCACACATTGTGGATTTTTTTTCTTGTATCTTCTTAGAAAAATACATTGTAAGCCATTTGCAGTGTGTGTGCTATTTCTTCTGCAATGATGTGATTTTTCTCCCATTTTACATGAGCATGACTTTACGGCTTGCCTTGGATGTCATCAACTGTATTGCTGTATGTTACTTTTAGTGATCTCACAATGAAAAGAAAACCCAGTTAAGGTTTTTAAAATATATAACAATGCTTACCCTATTAAAGGTTGTCATCCCTATAAAAGGTTGTTATTTTAATATACAATGTATATTGATAGACCTTACGCTGTAAACGATTGCCATCCCAGACTCAGTATCTATTTAACTGATTCAATGTAAAACGCTATGTCTGTACTGATTCCATGAGGTCTTGAGAGACATGTAAAGTTGTTATCGTCCTACCGCACGGTTGTTTTCTCTTTTTTTTTTAATTCTTTTGCACCTTCCAAATATAGTATCTCTGAAAAATCCCTCTGGCTATTTCTAAAATACCATAACTGTCCACTTGTGTTTCTTAATCAACTTACTCTAAATAATGTACGTGTTTGAAGCTTGTTGCTTGAATATTAATATTTAGATTCTTTATTGTTACTTTATGATGACTAAAGAAACCAACAGAAGGAATAATTAGAAAATATAACATTTCTCTTGAAATAGTCATCTACGTTTTCTGAAACATCATTGCAAACTTTAACACTTGTCTTGTGTAAGTCTAGTACAAGTAACATTTGGATTTTATGCCCAGTTTGCGAGACAGGCAAAAGGTCTACTTCAGCATCTGAATTTTATGGTTATGAAATGTTATGTATGAGCTGTTTCTTCTTATGTGGTTCACTTCTAATTGTCAAACGCACAGCACGAAAACGCATATTTAAGCCAACTTTACGAACTGCGTTAAGAGGTATTAAAGGCGGCGAAATATTTAAGCAGACTTTACGACATCGGAAAGGCAACTGAAAGGGAAATATCGCCTTTCCGTAACCTTTCCACATGTGTAAATGTCACGTTAATATAACGTGTTTCTTTCCGTAAGCTTTACATGGACTTAAATGTAATGTAAAGAAAGCATTGCGGTAATGAGTTACTTTTTGTAACTAGAGGCATCTCAAAGCCATATGATCTTTTTGATTATTATGAATAAAGTCCTTACCAACCTCGCGCGACTGAACACAAGCATTTTATATGCTTTTTCATATTTTGTTTTACCTGAAATATTAGATATCTTCCATGATTTCTCGCTGAATCGCCGCAAAATCTAACATTATTATGCCTAGTCATTTCTATAGGCGTCGTTTAGCTGCAGGAAATGTTGCGTTTCTTTGTCTTTCCTACCGTCGCCAAGTTTTCCCTAAATTGAAGCAATCGCCATGTTTTTTACACATATTTGGGAGCGACCAAATATAACAACACCATGCCAAGTCCATTCTATATGTTTATGTCTGGCTTTCCAAAAACACAGTATTACGGTTCCTTTCCTCCTTCTATAAACAAGCTTTCCGCCGACCGAGAGAAATCTCCCCTATACAGTATAGGCGTCGTTAAGCTGCAGGAAATGTTGCGTTTCTTCGTCTTTTCCTTAGTACCGTCGTAAAGTTTTCCCTAAATTGTAGCAATCGCCATGTTTTTCACACTTACTTGAGAGCGGAAAATGCAACAACATATTATTAGTCCATTCTATATGTTTATATTGGCTTTCCAAAAACATAGTCCATTGTATTACGGTTCCTTTCCTCGTTCTATAAACAAACTTTCCGACGTAAATAGTATAGGCGTCGTTAAGCTACAGGAATCCGTGTCAATTCGTTCAGCGCTGTATGTACTGAGTTCCTGAACATTTAGAACTCATATATTATGTTTAACTCGAGACAGATAAAACATTTTTCAAACGGAGAAAGACCATAATACTGGGTAACTGTGGACTATTTTAGTTTTCCTTTAGATTAAACGATTCTTTCGTTATCAGCCTGGAACCCATAACTTCTCAGTCAACAACCTACCCGAAGTTTACTACGGTCCGTGTCTATATGTACGGCGATGTATGTACTGAGTGCCTGAACATTTAGAAGTCATAGAATATGTTCAACTCGAGACAGATAAAACCTTTTTCAAACGGAGAAAGACCATAATACTGGGTAACTGTGGACTATTTTAGTTTCCTTTAGATTTAACGATTCTTTCGTTATCAGCCTGGAACCCATAACTTCTCAGTCAACAACCTACCCGAAGTTTACTACGGTCCGTGTCTATATGTACGGCG